TTGTACGGCGTACTAGTACTCCACAATAACAATAAGATCCTAAACAATATTCAGTACAGAACTCAAAGACTCAAAAATTGTATTTTATATTTTTCATGTATAGTAAATATTGTTTGATAGTGGTTAATTATTCAGTTCCAACAAGATTTTTATGTATACTAAGTTAAGCTTAGTATTTATGATAGTTATTTTCATATAACTAAGTTAAGATGACTAAAAAAACTCTGTTTAATTCAATCCTATAATTATAGGAAAGATAGATATAAATATTCATAATCATACAAAAATCAAAATTTTAAAATCTACGAATTTCTCTATATATAAACAATAGATGTTAGGCGTTTTTCTAGATTGGCATTTTCTAACATTTTTCTGTATTAAAAGACTTCTACCGATATTATAATTTAATCCTACCTAGATAAAGGTAATAAAATTGTATTAAGCATGTAGTTGTTTAACATAGGTAGAATTTCTACCGAACAAAAAATGACAACTAGTTGAAAATAGCATTTTGCCTTAAGGCAAGTTGCATGAACTTCTCGAAATGTAATGTAAAGTGTATAATAGTTGACTTAATCAACTGAAATTGAGATTTAGATATTTGGATAAAATTTTCAACAAAATAAAGTTTTTACTTTCAATTCAATCTGAACTTTGCGATTTCCAATTGAATTTTTTCAAACCTAAATTATCTGTAATTATATTAATTATATTGCTCAGACACGTGCTTATATGTCAAAAAATTGTAGCTTATTATACCAAATTTAAAGGAATTGACAATGTTCAACACGTCACATCACAAAAGCAACTTTTGACACAAACTTTGGTTATATTTTGTCAAACTTTGATAATTGTTTTCAAATTAAACTACTTGCAGCACGGTCGTGAAATTTTAGTATGATATGATATCTGATATCTATCCACATGAAAAGTTTCAACGATTTTTTTTCAACAGTTAATTACGAAGAAATGGCTCGGCCGATCTTTGTCCAAAACTAACCATCATGACTCCCAAATAATATCTTTCGAATGTTTAAAATCGATTCGGAATTTTTGGATAAAACCTGGAGGATTTTTTTTTCACTTTTTTGTTAATTACAAAAAAAAACGGCTCAGCCGATCGTATCATTAATCTAACCATCAAGTTCCATCGAATGGTTTTAAAATTTTTGAAGTCGACTCAACCGTTTAAAAGAAAGGTCTAATTTTAACAAACATCAAAAAACGCTACCTTGTTTTCCAAACTTGGTCTCATTCTATTCAGGATGGCTTGAAACGTCGAGTAAACATAAAATTAGCAAATCGAATTTTTTGACAAAAACAAACTTCTTCCTCGGCTAGTTAATAAATAGACTTTTCATGCTTTCTATAGTAGTGTTGCAGGGAGTGAGATGTAATTCAGAAACAGTTTTACAGAACGCTAATTAATATTGAATTGAAATTGAAGTTGATAACAATCAAAATGTTAATCTGATATCACAAACTTTGAATATTTGCTAATGTTTTTGGTATTATAAAAACATATTGTAATTAACTTTCCGTAGGGCAAGTTATAGTAATCACAAAAAAATCTAAAATGAAAATTTTTATATATCTTTACGTTTTAGAAGTTTCTGAACATTTTGGCATACTTTAGAAAAAATTGATGTATGTGTGTGTTTGTGTGCGGATACAAACACACTTTTCACACACAATTTTCGTCAACGATTTCGGGAACACGACTCAACCGAATTCAATAATTCAAAAAACATTCGATCCCTATTAATAAGGAGACGTGCTCATTAGTTTTTGGCATATGCAGGTCTAGCCGTTTCAAAGATATGGGGCAAAAAGTGCCAAAAACGGTAACTCAGTTTTTAAGAGAACGGAGCGTCCGATTTTAAGAATTCAAAAAACATTTTACCTGTATTGTCAAGATGAAGAACTGATTAAATTTTTGCGAAGGCAGGTCTAGCGGTTTCGGAGTAAAAAAAGTAAAAAATGCCATTTTGAGGTCAAAAATGATTATTACATATTTGTACATCAAATTATCAGATATTTCATTGAGATTTTAATAATGTGTATCAATTTTGTTTACATTTCTATGGATTACGTAACATCTTTTGTACGTTAAATGGCGACACGGTGCTTACGCGCTTTGATATTGAGTCTTTATGCAGCTAAAGCAGTGCGATAGCTTCGAAAAAAAGTTCAAAATTTCGAAAATATTACAACTAAAAAAAAGATTTTTTTCCAAAAGTTTTTTTTCCAAAAAAGTTTCTTTTCAAAAATTCATAGTTTCTCAAAAATCTAATTTTGTCAAAGTTTAAAACATACATACCTAATCATTTTTTAAAAATTAAATTTTTGATAGGAGAAGTTCCAGCAATTTGCCTTAAGGCACAATGCCATGCGCCTCACTAGTTGCATCATGAAAAATAAAGTAAAAAAAAACAATCTAATGTCGGTTAATAAAGTCTTCACAAGCCCTCCAACTATTAAAATATCCGCTATCCACATGCGTCCCAAGCCAACAATAGAATCGGTAGTCCAACAACGGTCCAACGGTACAGCGTTCAAGTGACTCGTCCAAACAGTAACCGCTGGGAGCGCGTGCCACCTGGCTTTGTCAAATGTATTTATTTTCTAATATCTTCAAAGTTGTAGGTGTGCCGGTGTGCGAAGTGTCAACCCTTCCGGACAGCGACAGGAAAATTTGATGGAGCCAATAATAAAGGACATTTATTAGAGGCGATCGGACGTAAACACTAGCACAATGGTACTACTATTTGCTGGTCATTTCTTATTTAGTTATTTATAAAATGAAATTGCAGTTGTTAGGTGGTATTTTCATCAGTTGTCGCGGGAAAGAGGTGGTTGCATGGATACCAAATCTCATGCGTTTTAAATACAGACTCATTTGTTTTTTTTTTATAATTTTATTTGAACAGCGATCAGAACTTATGTGTTCTATGAGCTGTTGTAATTAATATCTTACAAACTACGTTTGTTTTATTACAGATGGCAACCCAAACAGTTGTCACATCTCTGTATGATAAATTTTTATTACAATCTCTGTAATAGGGCAAGTATGGTGCAACAATGCAGGCTGAGGGCTATTTTCACTTGGAAACATATTGCTATTTATATTTCCAAGTGAAAATCGTTGTCTCGAAGTGGGTATCGAACCCGGGTTCTCTGAAACAAGTCCCGTCGCTCTTAACCGCTTACCTACGAGCGAGCCCAGACTCATTTGTTAAGCGACATTTTACATCAGTCTTTCTCAAAGTGCGATTGTAATATCCAGGAGTGGCGATGAGAAGCCTCTAAATAATTTTTTTTACATGTTGTTTTAAGTGGCGTTTTATTTGCTCTCACTAATAAAATTTTCTAATTTAGAATGTAAGGTTACATCAACTAATACAGCATACTATAACTATATTATTAAAATTTAAAAAAAAATGTTTTTTTAGAGATTATATAGGTATAAAAAAATTGGTTGGAAGCGCTAAAATTTTTATGATCTCCAAAGGAGGAGGTTGGAAGAAATAAGTTTGAGAGTATTCGCAAGTTTTACATGGTATTCGCATCGAAAGTTTCATATAAACTAGTAAAATATTTTTTTACGATAATAAATTAAGCTCTGTTTGTGAAATTAATGACGAAACCTGACTATAAGTGCTCATATTATAGCAAATATATAACATTATACTAAAAAATATCGATTTATTTGTTTGTTACTTAATGAATATATAGACCTATAAAATCAATCAAATTTATTAGCTTCATGTGCATAGATAGTTCTATTTAGCTATAAAAATTACTAAATTGCCAAATTTATAATTTTGTAATATAAATAGCTTTGTGCAAATCGTTAAATGATGCATTTTTTATTTACTACATTATTATTGCACTAAAATACAAAATTTGCTAAACAAATTAAATTTTAATTTATTTTTGCATGTTTAAAAAACTGTGCGAAACTAATCTATATATTCAATTATCATTGAAGTATGTTTCATAGAACAAATATTGTGAACGTTATTTCCTTTTGTTAGAAAAAACTACCGAAGATGTAAAGGAATATAAAAAACAATTATAGGCTCGTCTAATAGGTCGATTATGAATTCTAAAAGTAACTACTTGTAAGTGGCATTTTGCCTTAAGGCAAGATACATGAACTTCCCGACATATGTACATAATCGACTTAATCAATAACAACTCAATATATTAATTTGTTAGTGATTTATGCGTATGCCGAGTTGCAGTAAGGACTCATAATGTGAAAAACTATTGCAGATTATTCAATTTTATGCCATTTTTTTTTATTACACATCATTGAAAATCGAATACGTGCCTAAAATACACATAGAGTATTTCTTAAAAGTGCGGCCTATTAATCCAAATTTTAATTAAGTTTTATATCCACTTTTAGTAGGACTATAATATTTCAGTATGTTCTTTAAGACCGGATACTCAATAGCCAAATACCAAGTATCATCAAAATATTCGAGAATGCTTCTTCAACAATATATTACGAAGAAACGGCCTGGTCAATATTTGACCAAGTCCAAAACAAAGTACAATTCCCAAGCAAAACTAAGTAATGTCTCTCGAATAGTATTTGAATTTTAAAAATCGAATCAGAAACGTCTCAGCGAGTTTAGATTAGCTAAGTTAGCTTACTTCAAATTTCATAAAATCGCTTTTAAATTTTTGAAATCGGTTCAGCCATTTTTGAGAAAACGTCGACTAAAGGTCATTAATTGGCTCACATACACACACGACTGGTATGACACGAGCGTTTTTCTAATTTGGTTTCATCTGATTCAGAATGACTTGAAACATCGAAAATACACAAAATTTTAAAGCGTTAGTAGGTTAAAAATCGACGTAAGTTCTGGAAAAGGTGCTGAAAACTGCAATCAAAACATATTCTTTTCTATATCAAATAAAATTATTATTCTTTAATTCAAATTGTCTATAAATTATCATAACTATATAACACCATATATACAAATTGTCACTATACATCTCATGATGTATCTTTTTTAATGACATGAGGTAAGTCATATTTTCCACGTACACATTTTATTTTTACACCGGGCAAATCCTGGCAACGTCCAACGCGACATAAAACGATGTTGTGTTCCTGCAACGCAAAATAAATTTCTTACCACATAACAATTTTTCAAAATTAGAAAACAGCAAAACTATCCGAAAAAAATATTTACAAAGAAGAATTATTTATCCTTCATTAGCCATTATCATGCATTGCCTTAATGAGGATCATCATCTATTTTCTCATTCAACTCCTTGAATTTGCCAAAAAATTATTGTAATTTATCTTATACTTATTTGAACCATATCTCATTCCCATTTTTTCGTAATCAATTTAAATTGAAATTTTAAAATGATTAAAAGCACACTAAATTTTTTTTCAAACTTACTTTAACCCAGTTTGAAAGAGGTGATTAAAAATAAAGTACTATATAAGATTAACTTCAATAATAATTAACCAGAATAGATCATAAATTCATAATGGTAAAATAAATCATATACCATATAAATTTTATTAATTATTATGAGCAATATGGGTTGATATACTGATGCGGTTTTATAAGATTTAAAGGACTTCAATATATAAATATAAAGACTGAAAATAGTATAAAAGGTTTCTATAAATCATCATCAATCACTTAAGTAATTTACCCATATGATAATGGCGCTTTAATAGAGATATAGATACTGTAAGTAGATTTTTTGGATATTATGATTAAATAATACTTATATTTTTTGTTTCAAATAATAGAATTAATCTATATGATTCATACATGTATATTAAGTGTACATATACTTTAAAAGTATCATTATTGTTTAAAGAATTTTTAGTACTTTGTCAGAAGAACAAAAAAGTAATTATGCCAACATGTCTGATTTTCTTAAATTGCCTTCACAATTGTGTTAAGATAATTCAATAACAAGTGTTTAATATTTTTAAATTTTTTAGTACATACTTCTGCTAAACATAGTTGATTAATTTATATAATCTTTTAAAAGCATGCTTTTCGACGCTTATATATTTAAAAATTCAATAGCACTGCTTTCCATTTCGTTAAAAGATAAAATTACCCAAAATTATTTCTTTTCTTACTTGCAAATTATGTCCAATTCCCGGAACATAAGCAACCATTTCTTTTCCAGTAGATAGTCGTACTAGCACACATTTTCTGTTAGCAGAATTAGGTTTTTTAGGTTTCTTTATTAAAGTTTTAAGAATAAGTCCCTTGGCGAATGGTTTGCCATCCAAAGGCTGCCTAGGAGGCCTGGTTTTCTTGTGGGGACCAGAACGATGCATCTGTGCTAAAGAAGCCATAGATCGTGATAGCCAGTTGTTGGTTACAGGTATAGATGACCAAGGAGCACCTGAGAATTAATTATTATATATTCATTAAATTATTCACTAATTAATCTTAACGACTTCATGAAAAATGTATTAGGTTTCTTCGTTTTCTACGAAATTTTGGCTAACTGGAGATTATGATTAACCAATACTAAACGTTGAATTTGATTAATTTACTGACTTAGCATGCTGTTATTCTTGAAATGCATCAATTAATGCCTTTCAGGGATTTCACAACATATTACATATTACTTGACCAATAGTAATTCTGTCCCACAAAGTCTTCAAAATTTATCCTCAACATCAAAATTAAAAGACCAATATTCTACGGAAGTTTACTGGCATTACTATCCATCAGCACAATTCTTCTAAAGAAATCAGATAATTATTTTAGGTTTGAAGAGAAATTTTATTTTTTCTACAGCATCAATTAAAATTTGACAATGAGTTGCTTCTTGTTTTCCATGTCAAAAAGATTAACAAAATTTACTAGAGAGAATTAATTGAGCTTTTTACCCACCAGCTAGAATTAGATAGCACATGAAGTAGAGAAAACATATCTATGATTCTCTATCTTCATTCAAGACTTTTATTTCATCAAAAATCTAAATCGATTGTAAAATACTATTTATAATTCTTATTTATCAGTTGGAAAATCGTATCTATTGAGTATATATAAAAATACGGTGACCATACGTCTCGGATTGGCCGGGACAGTTCCGGATTTTCACTTTGTGTCCCGGTTTTTCGTAAAAGCAATATTTGTCCTGGATTTAGATCTTTTATCCCAAATTGTCCCGGGATTTTCGAAAATAAAGGTCTAAATTGAATCTTCGCTCTTACTTCATAATAAAATTACAACTACTCATCAAGTATCTGAAAAATATTTGTACAACGGGTATGCTTATGTGAAAAAGGCGGATTAAATTAGCCACTCACATTCATAATTTATTCTTTTATTTTCAATTTTACGAAAATTAACAACAATTATAAAAATGAACTTCTTGACTGTCTTACCGTCCCGGTTTTGACTTGAAAAAATATAGTCACCTTAATACAAAAAATCAATCGCTGAAGAATCAATAATTAAATATCTATCCTTTTACATATTACTGGAGAAATAGTAATTCTGTCCCTTTAGTTAATTTTCTCAATAGGCATGGGAATCATGTTGTTTAATTTAGTAAGAGATTTTAGCTTTTAAAACTACTGTTTTCAAAAATAAGTAAAAAATTATTAAAACGATAACAAACGAACAATTAATTAACAAAATCTAGTAACGTAAGAATTGGATTAAAATATAAGTTCATATAATGATTCTAAGTTTTTGGAATTTTAGAAATATCTAATAAAATTTGCTAGTACAATCCAACTAGAATGTGATATCAAATCGGAACTTAAATTTTAAGTACAAATCATGGGTATGAAAAATTCTCAGTACATCGACAAAGAATCTAAAAAAAACTAATAACTCCTAACAAAAGGCACCAATTTTCTCACAAGAACACCTCCGAATAATTCTACTAAAAAACCTATTTAAGTTCTCCCACAATCAATACCTTCGAAATGAGTCGTTTCATGAGAATTTTTCAACTCCTTTACTTGTCAACTCGATAATCCCACGGAATAAACACTTCCTTATAATAGCTAGACCGAAATGTATACAACTCATTATGAATGTCACACCTCTTTCACCTGCGGATTTGCGTGGGATCATTGTGAAGGAATTGTATATGAATCGGACGGACGCTGGACTACTGGACCGTGCAAACAAAAATATTAAACTCTTTTGCCAAAAATACGCGGCGGCGGCGAGGTCTTTATATTGGACTAAATACGCGATTCAAATTATTTTCTCATGTTTAAAATAACATTGTTCAGATTTAATTTGAAACCGTCGCTCAAAAATTTTAACATTCCTATTCGGATTTTTTTTTTTCAATATAACGGGCCAATTTAGGATAAGATTTATATTTTGATTTACTTTTTGCTTATAGTAAAATAAATAAATTGCTTTGATTTCATAAAATGGCACATATAAATAGTCTTGAGTGAAAATGCATGAAAATCAATCTGCCGACAAATATTTCAAGGGTCTGCAATTGCGAAAAACATTAGATACCTAATTTTTTAAATTATTTTATACTCATTTTTAAACAAGAATCAGACTTAATAGCCCTATGAGCTGCTTGAAGTTTTTTATTTCGCTGACAAACCAAAAAGTAAATGTATTTAACATTTGATAATTAATAATGATCAAATGTAATAATTTTAAAAATAATTATTAATTACATTTTATTTAATTAAAAAATAAATTTAAATTTCAATAAGTAAGAAATTGCCGCTATGCTCTGGAAGATCTATTTTTACTTGGACTCTTTTATTCTCTTTTTATAGCAAAATAACAAGAAAGCTTATGCAAGAATAGACAAATTTTAATTCCTATAGTGTACAAAAAGCAATTCCTAAAGTGCGATTCCAATTTGAGCACTGAGCATACAGCTACATAAAGTGATATAATCTATGTCTTTAATTTTTATAATGTCTTTAATCTGATGCTGTAATTAAAAGTTAAATTTGTATAATTTTTACTCACTTTAAATATATATCATCAAATATATATCATTTATAATACTATCATTGGATGCAGCAAACAAAAATATTAGACTTTTTGCCCAAAATACTCGAGGATTTTTCAAGTGGTCTAAGGGAGACAAACTATACAATTCATATTATTTTCTCATATTTAAAAATAATATTGCTTAGAATTAAAAATAATGCAAAAAATTTACTAGAGATTATGATATTCCTATTCAGATCACAATCTTGTTCAAAATAGATGTTATATTTCTCATAAGGTTGGAACAAATATTTTTGAAAGTATGATTCTAACTTGAACGTCTGAAGCAGACGATCTGATTGTAAGAGAACACAAGCAGATATTAGTAAATACGTCTGAAGCAGTTCTTGCAATTTTTACGTTCATTGTATTATTCTATAATGTCATATACTCGGACAATCATAGTACAATTTTTTACACAAAGAGTCTATCTAATTAAAAATTAATTATTGATTATTGATAGACACAAATCGATATAAACTGAATATCCTTAAATTCGCGTCCTTACCTACCACCGTTCGAGTTATTTTTTTAACGGCTTATGCTTTTACCTAATAATATAATTTATATAATTATAATTAAGATAACACTATTATTTCAGAAAATAGAGTAAGCATTATGTTTAGAGTTTACACAGTTCCAATTTAAAAAAAAAAAAGAGAAGCAGAGTGATAATAGCTAATAAATACTATTCACATCTTTCAATTTTAGAACTGATCCTCTATTAAATTGAAAACGAAAGTTCAGGAAATGCAGTTTCATATATTAAATGCTTTTCAAATCGATTCATTTGCCTTTAATATTGTGAAATAAAAGCAAAAATAAAAAAAATTGAAAAAATATTGTATTTAGCAAAATTGATTTATAGACTGAAAATTTATTATTTAATTTTATATTTGGTAAGTAAGCGAAATAGTGATTTTATGCATTATGTGAATTATTTTTCTTATGCATTATGTGAATTATATTTAAAGAATTTAATTATATATTAATTTAAGTTATGTACCAGTAATATCTATAATTGTATAATTCTGTTGTATAAATATAAATATAAATATATAAATAAATATTATACCATAAATGTTATATTTTATAAAAAAATTGTCGACTTGAATAAAACGTAATATCCATAGATGAATAAGTATAAAATATCTGTTTGAAAAGTCGTAAGTATTCGAAACAACAAATTTTCATCAAGTTGAAACAAATCTGATAACGCTTGTATATTTACAATTAATTTTCACTTAAATTGATAATTAATTATTATGTCCCTAGAAGAGCAAACTTGTCGGAATATCCGCCTTCAAAACTTTCACGGAAAATTCAAATCAGAAGACTATTATTTGCATGGGAACGGACATCACTCTCGGCATTATACCGGGATACGGTACACCTGCACCTGCCCAGTCCGCAAGGGTTGAACACTTCCTATATAACTCCGAAGGCCAACAATGGAACAGAAATAACAGTTCACATCACAGTTAAATTCATATTTTCGTAAACTACCAGGTGCCATTAGAAAACCGTAAGCCACGCATGATTTGCAAAAAAATAAATAAGATGTAAATTTCGAGATTTTGTATTCATTGTATTGTGGGAAAGGATATTAGCTATGGGCTAGATGCGTCATTTGGGATATGTTTATAATATATATATATATATATATATATATATACATATATTCGAGTGCCTTTTTGAAAGAACATTGCAAAAGAAAAGGCTTAGGAACTTATAATGAAATATGTTTTACTACTCAATTTTGTAGATAATACCTCCAGAGTTAAACTAAAAATAATTATATCATATTTTTATATAATATGTAGTTCTCCGAATAATTAATTAACTATTACATTAGACTCTAAAACACAATGTAAATAATATATGTAATCTCCCACAAAGAAATAAATCTTCTCCAATCATTGTAAATCTACTCCAATGATTCTAAATCCATCCAATTGAGTGTCAATGTATTACAATGAATGTAAAACTTCTACATTGAGTGTAAATCTGCTCCAATGATTGTAAATATATAATGATTGTAAATCTACTTCCAAAATAGTAAATCTACTCGGATGATTGTAAATCTACCAAAATGAGTGTAGATCGACTGCAGATCATTGAAAATCTACTTCGATGACTATAAGTCTACTTCAATAATTGTAAATCTACTCTAATGAATGCAAAGGCACTACAATAATTCCATGATTATAAATCCTCCAAAATGAGTGTAAATTTACTACAGTTTGTGTTAATTTTCTCCAATTAATGTAAATCTACTCCAGTGATTTGTAAATATACTCCAATTATTGTAAATATACAATAATTGTAAATCAGTGTAATATTTATTGTAAATTATTGTAAATATACTCCGATTACAGTAAATATAGACTAATTGTAAATATACAGTAACTGTAAATCTACTTCGGTGATTGCAAATCTACTCAATGATTGTAAATCTACTGCAATGATTGCAAATCTACTTTGATAATTGTGAATCTACTTCGATGATTGTAAATCTACTTCGATAATTGTGAATCTACTCTAATGAATGCAAATGTATTACAATTATTGTAAATCTACTTTGATGATTGTAAATCCTCCAAAATGAGTGTAAATTCACTGCATTGAGTGTAAATCTTTTACAATGCTTGTAAACCTACTCCAAAGATTCTAAATCTGCCCAATTGAGTGTCAATCTATTACAATGAGTGTTAAATATCTACAATGAGTTTACACTCATCTGCTCCCAATGATAGTAAAATTACTTCAATGATTGTAATGTACTGATTCTACTCTGATGAATCTAAATCTACTCGGATGGTTGTAAATCTACCAAAATAAGTATAGATCAACTGCAATGATTTTAAATCTACTTCGATGATTGTAAATCTACTTCGATAATTGTAAATCTACTCTAATGAATGCACATGTACTACAATAATTGTAAATCTACTTTGATAATTGTAAATCCTGCAAAATGAGTGTAGATTTACTATAAAGAGTGTAAATCTTTTCTAATGATTAAAAATCTTCTCATATGATTCTAAATCTACCCAATTGAGTGTCAATCTATTACAATGAGTGTAAAACTTGTACAATGATTGTAAAGTTACTCCAATGATTGTAAATCTATTCTGATGATTCTAAATCTACTCCTATGATTGTAAATTTACTCTAATGAATGCAAGTGACTCTAATGATTGACTCTAATGTATTGCAATAATTGTAAATCTACTTTGATGATTGTAAATCTACTCCAATGATTGTAAATCTACTGGAATGACTGTAGATCTACTACAATATGTGTAAAGCTAGTACAATGATTGTAAATCTACTCCAATGAATGCAAATCCACTTCAATGATTGTAAATCTACTACAATAATTTTATTATAGAACCAAGAATGTAATTTTACAGCCATTAGTGTCTACTACAAAGGTTGCACATCTACTCCAATGATTGTAAATTTATTCCGTTAGAGTTAAAGTATTATAAATGACAATATGTGTGAGTCTATGCAAGTAAGCATAATGCCATCTAATCATTATTTGTTCTAGATAACTATTTTAAATTTTAGATTCAACAAATACGTGAAACAATTATATGAAACCACAACCATCGGAGCCCTCAAAGGATTATTGCGCAAATTGCAATATGCATAATGCATACTAGGAAAATTTCAAGTACCGATGCATAAGTTCTTAGCATGAATTGTTATAAATAATATAGTCTATCACATTGCAGATAAAACTTTAATATCCATTGGTATGTTTTATAGGAATGACGAAAATTGTCAGCAAATGTGTATAACATTAGAATTCTGATATTTAATAAAAAAAAATTACCTTGTGTGAGGGCCCCATTAATATTTGCAATGCAAGATAGTCCTCGTCTTATAAAATTCATTATTTTAAATTCTAAGAGCAGCTTCTAACCTAAAAATATCAGAAATAAACTCAATTCTTTACAGGTTAATTTTATTTCTGTTCTTAATAAAATTTACGCTTACAGCAAGTTCAAAGATTAATAAAACTATATACACAGAACAAACATTTGTTAATACTTCACTTTTTATTATTAACAATACATAACCTTACATAAATATAATTTTTTAATATTAAAAAGTGACAGCAGTAAGATAAAGTGTTGCCATATCCAAGAATAATCCGTTAAAACAACCTTCATCCGTTAATTTCAATATGGCCGCGTGGCAGCACTGTTAGTAGCGCCAATTTCAAATATATAAACTATAAATTTTAAAGTAATGACTAAATAATGATCAAATGTATGAAAATATAAAATAATAGTATATTGTTTATGATACAATATGTATTCTATACAACTGCATAAAATTCAGATACTATAAAAACAATTTGCGTAATTGGCAATTCAACAATATGTTAAAATATAAATTAAAAGGTAATAATAACAAGCAATAATAAATGTAAGATCTCCAAATTAGTGAGACTTATCATTGATTATTCAACAAATATGACATATTTTTATAAATGACAAATTATTATGAACGACAAAATTATTTAAACGTAACTCATATATTGAAATTGTTCATTTTGATAAAGACTTGCGCAACAGCATGATAAAGTATTCTCATAGAAGATTTTTTAGCAAATGTATTTTGTTTTAATATCACATGAAAAAACATCACAATAAATGAGATTTTCTTGTCCCATTTACATCTTTCTCCATAGTGTTTATCTATGATCTTTCTGTATCTGCATAATATGAATATTTGCATTGCATTTTAAATATGTAATTCAACTATTTTCTTATAATTATTTATTGTGTCTAACCAGCTATAGACTGTTTGTTTAACTAAATATTAATCTCACAGAAGAAAATAGTTTTCTGTTTTCCATATTAGTTTCGCCAGAGCTCGGTCTGTTTCAACTAATTTACGACGTATCAAGACATTGCGCGGCTTGAAAAGGCGGTGACGCACTTAAAACCCAATCGCTCGATCGAATCAATTTATTGACCTCAAGTAACATTTTTGAAATATAATTGAATCATCGCAGCTTTGGTGTCACTTGCAGAGTTCTCAGGGTTCATCATTGTAAAACCGATTCATTGATGGCTCGAATCATTTACCAACGGGCTGCAGACTTACGTGCACATGCACCTAGCCATCTAGATAAAACTAATCAAAGTCGATGTAAAAAATGTTTAACTATGTGATACATTTCTTTATAATTATAATTGTAATTGATGTCCGTTCCGAGCGTTTGTGCGACAACATCGACGCGCGGAATACGCCAAACAGTCTGTTCGCTCTAAGAAATTGTACAGCCGTCCTAGGGTATCTTCAGATCGTGTTGATGGACAACGCGACTTCTGCAGACTTTAAACATCACGTGTACCCAGACCTGGTGGAAGTCACTCATTTTGTGCTGCTGTACCGAGTTAAAGGCCTGACCAGCCTTGCCGAGATGTTTCCGAACCTGCAGGTGATCAGAGGCCAGAAGCTGCTTGCCAACTACGCTCTTATCATCTACGAAATGCCCGACATGATTGAGGTATCTTAAGATAAAATCCTATCTAATTAATAACAATTGATAACTATATCTAACACCTTCTGCAAAACATAAATGCACAATTTAACGCACATACCATTTATGATCAGGTTGTTTTAATATTTTACTACTTAACATAATTTCATCAATATTTTGAAATCGTTTGAGTGGTTAAAAAACTAATAATCATGCTAATTAATAATCTCAGCACATTAACGTTTGCAATTTCATAATAGTGATATCATTATAAGAGTGAAGTAGTTAATCTAATTTTATCGCCGAAAGGTTCTCCGTTCAATTGAGTTATTAAAGTCGTAATTGATTCTCACTTGTGAGTAATCGATTTGAAAACTGCTGGATATATATATATATATACTAGCTGACCCGACAGACGTTGTTCTGTACCTACGTCTACAATTTTTCAATATTTTATACTAATATTTACTGCTTAGTTAAAAATAATAATTACTGTTTTTTGAATTACTATTTACACCAATATATAAGTGATGTTGAATGTAGAACTGTTTCAAATAAAATGATTATTCTCAATTCCCACAGTTAACACTTTAATTATTTATTTAACAAATATTAAAAATTGTTCAATAAAATTGTATATTAAAAATTATACACTGCGATTTATAGAACAAATTTATTTCCAATAGCTCAATTTATTTTATTGCATTTAAGGGTTATATAGTATTTTTAGCCATACCTGTAGATGTGGATGTATAATGAAATTTTTTTGTTTATTCACGACTAAAACATAGATTTTCCAAATTTATCACACTAAAAATGATCGTCTGCCTTTTTGATTTATGGTCATAGCATAAGATACTCATGTTGACAATTGAAATCTTTTAAAAAGTACAACAAATTCAGAAAGAATTAATATATAGCATTCGCGGCAAAGGTGCAATATCACCTTTTATTTTTCTACCCAAAATAATTGCTTCAATAATGTTGCCTATAATTTTTATAATTTTGTACCATATTTTAACTGGCTTTAAGTAATTTTAATATCTAAATTGCATTTTTTTCTCTAATAAATCAATATACATTATTGCTTAAGTTTATATTTGAAGTGAATTAATTCGTCAAATCCTGTCCACATGTGCTCTATTCAACTTACGATCAACAAAATTATTGCTCTGTAAATTTTTTTACTGTGCTCCAATTTACTTGATATTTTGGAAATAGGCTAATCTTTATCTTAATTTCAATGTTTTTAACAATTTGCACTCCGTCACCATCCACAGCATTAATTGGATTATTACTCTTTTAATTCTGATTTTATCAGAACTTGTAATACACTATTTTAAAGGTGATTAAATGAGCTACAACTTTCTCTATCATTAATTTTACCGTAACTTCTCTTATTGTAAAACGGCGAAGGGTTAAAGGGCTCGAAAGACCTCTGGTTGGACAGCTCCTTAATTAATCATACATCTATCAATATTTGTGTAACGAAAAAATAATAAACAATAATAATTAGTCAGAAAAATACCTCGAATTTTCTTATATATATACTTTTATACGTATTCTTTCAGAGGTATTATGATGAGAAATTGGTTGTTTTTTTTTAAAATGTTTTTTTTTTCATGAAATCATGATTTTTTTAAAAATCATTTGCACTAAAGTTGTGGTATTTTCTAGAATCCATCAAGATCTCTTAAACCAAGTTAATTCTAGATTGAATATGACTATTTTTAATTTTGGTGGATATGGCACTCAAAGTATTTGATTTAAATGAAAAAAAAAAACATTGCATGCGTCCTTTATCTGCATGATAGCTCACTCATTTTACACGCAGAAGTACTCATTTTAAAGCTTATTTTGAGCACTATAAAAACCCATTTTCATATCTAGCCTAATAATGTTTCTAAAACACTATAAAATAACGATTTATTAGGATTTTAATTGATATAATTCTGTTCATTACATAATTTTCGTTAAAATGTATATTTTTGAAGGTGTTAGCAACAAATGATGAAAAACGCAAAAAAGAAACAAATATTCAGTAGTCAGTAACTTGAAAAGTATTTCCTTTTTTGAAAAACATTATTAAATATTTTTCTCGTATAATTAGTTCTTTTATCGATACCCAACGTTATTTTGAAAAAAGTAAAATTACACCACTGAAAAGAAATGTCATCCACCCGAGAAGTGGTAAAGGAGTCTAAATTGTTTTCACTTCTGAAGAGTAAGATGAACCTAGTTCCAACATTCCAAACGAATTGGAAAATAGTAAAAATTTCAGACCCAAAACGCTCCATTGAGTAAATATTCCGTACCCAATGACAAACATATGAATTTTTGACACAATGAAACTTCTAAATAATTTTTTTTGTATTGTGACTTAGTATAGTAAGGCAAAACGACTGCAAATTGAATATGTTTGAGCGCAATCACTTATGGCTCGCTTCTTTGCGCGAATTCGTACGGCGAATCTGTTCGCAAAGTGCGCAAACAAAATTATTGCAAGCAAAAGCAAACCACGCGCACGTCAGACGCATGCGCAGACTGCATCACTTGTCAAATGCATGTTATATTATTTGCATCTTATATTAATTTAATTTTTGGCACATCTCAGCTGCTTTTCGGCATTAATAATGTGGACATTACATTTTCCTTATTCATAATTATGAATTTATTATATTCTAATATTGCCTTAGCCTATAAGTGAATAGAAATGTTTGGCAAATGACAGTCCTCAATTGTTTTTAATGTCAAACTAAGCTTCAAATATTTTCAAGGGCAAACAATGATAAGCGGTTTTTTGTAATTTTTTCTATTTATTTCTACAATTTAACTATATTTCTATGAATCAAAACATTCTAAAAAATTTCCCGAACAAACTTCAGGAAGATTCATGAAAATCCGAATTATAGTTTAGGAGGAAATATGAAACTTACATTGTTACAGAAGAATTTTATATATAAGATATATATATATATATATATATCTTCTTATAAATAAAAATGAATAGCAAAATGTGTTGGTAAGCGCATAACTCAACAACGCCTGGACCAATTTGGCCAATTCTTTTTTTAAAATGTTCGTTGAAGTCCAAGGATGGTTCTTACGGCGAAAAAATCGAATAATTGCCCGGAAAACCCTAAGAACAGCCCTTTTCTTTTTCACATACAAATGTTTTCTAACTAAAACGTAGAATCAATTTGAACTTAAATTTTTTTATAAAGCATAAATAAATAAGGAGAATTAGAGAACTTATAGAGGTAAACTGGTATAATTGAACTATGTATCTTGTGTCACCATTTAGCATACACCTATCCCCCGTTTTGCACGATTTCGATCTTACACGGTTTTTGGAAATAATCTTTTTTCACTAAATTTATTAATTTTGCATTTACGTGAAATTATTATTTATTAATTTTGCATTTACGTTTGGATTTTTAAAAAATTCAATATCCACGTGATATTTCGTAATTTTTTGCCAAACTCCCCTCCCCTTAAAAACCTCACGTGATTATAATGGACGCCCCCTTACACGGTTTTTTATAGAATCTATCTTCCGTGTAAAACGGGGAATACCTGTTTTTTAAATATATCACACCAGGAAAAACACAAAACAAAATATTAAACCACATCAAAAAAACAAAACAATAAAATAAAATATTTAAAACCAGAAAATTATGAAGTTGCTACATGGCTAATAAACTCTGTGAAGGCTATAATAAATATTAACGTTATTAAAAAAATATTCAATTATAAAAATTATCATAAACAAGCAAACGCATAAGACGCGGTATTTTTAGAAGTAATTATGCTATTTAGTATTTTATTATTAAATAGTTTTTATATAAAAAATCTTTTAAAATACCGCTTAAAACAATATCAATATTAACAAATAGAAAATCGTCACAATATATTTGTCATAAAACAGATTTTTAACGCTATTTTTTTCAATTTTAAAAAGCACTTTTTTATCTGATTTATAAATTATTAATCTGTATTATGACAAATATATTGTGACGATTTTCTATTTGTTAATATTAATATATTGTCTACTATAGTAAACTATATTGTCTACTATAGTAAAAAGGTTTTGTAAAGGTGCAAGTGGCATACAACATTACCAATACCAATATACATAAAATTTTATTTAATAAAATATTTACATTTTAACATGTAGTACAAGTGATAATTTCTCTCATGATATTTAGGTTTCTATTGACTAGTACGTAATTTATGCATCATCTATGTCGAATAAATCGCAAACACCTTCGTTGCTGTCCAAAGAAAATAGGTAGTCACTTCTGTTGGGTGGTGGGCTCAAATTCATTAAAGAAGGCGCGTCGGTATCAATAATTAATTCCTCAGCATTAAATTCCGAGTCCTCAACGAAAAATACTTCTGCCTCCATTTTTGTTTCAGTTTGCTCTGCTTTAACACCATCACTTTTAATTGCGGTTCCATTATGTTGTACTGCAGAGACTTCATTTTCTGAAGCTTCATCGTCCATAAGTTTTTCGGAAGTCAAAAGCAGTGCAGCAACAGGTTCGGTTCCGGCTAATACATGTACTATATTATCATCTCCTTGTTCAACATAACCTGCAAAATGAGCATTAACAATGGCGTCATTACCTCCCTGCAGCACGATAACCGTTGAATCGTCAAACAATTGTAGTATGTCTTTTGCAGTGACATAAATATATGGTATATTTTCATTGCATTCCAAAATGTTCATAACACTATCTATGGCCCATCTTACTTGCGCATCGAGTTGTTTTTCAAGTTCTTCAAGTTGACTAATTTCATTTTTTAACTCACTTGACCTTTCTGCAGCCTCTGCAGATGCAGAGCCTGGTCCTTTCCATATAACAAAATTAGTTAGTTTTTCGATCAGACCTACTCCTTCTAAAACACTTGTTATATCGTATATTCTTCTCATCTTGCGAACTTTTAATACATCCGCGGCCAATTTTAAGTCTAAAACTCTACCCTGTGCATTTTGTAATAACGAAGCAAAACGAACAGCCAATTGTCTGAGTGATGTATTGTACCTTGATTTACTTTCAGACATTTTACTTGATATATAAAAATATTTAATTTGATAAGTTCAAACTACGTCCACAACGCTTCTATTTCCAAATAAAATTTGACAGGGCATTTAAATAAATTGGTAGACTTGAAGTTTGATATGTGCAAAGATTCGACCTAATCAAAAAGAATTGTGATTTAGCACTTTTTTACCGTTTATTTCAAAAATAAAGTACTCGCTTTTTATAAAACATATTAAAAACTAATCATTGCAATTTCTTTTTGATATTATACGCATTATGTCTATTATTACAACATTATTACAATGTTGTTATTATTATTACAACAAACTTCAGATTCAGCCTATCATGTTAATAGAATGTTTATTCAGACCATAGATAAAAGAAGAGAAGACCATGATAAATAAAAAAAAATGAATGCGCGTAAGGTTAACACGCGATTGAAGTAAAACTTTTTTGCTATTGTACAAGATGGCATTTAAGTTAAAAATAAATACATATGGTAACACTCGTGACGTACACATTTAGTCAACCGTTACACATATAATAATAAATTATAAATTATATATTTATAATAGCATTAAAAATATTTATAGTATTTGAAAACAATTTTAAAATTAAAGTCATACTTCAAATATAACATGGTCGGTTTGTCATTGTAATTAGCATTCAGGACTTGAACCTTCATTAGAGAAATGAAGTAATTGCATTTAGGACTTAAACCTTTATTAGAGAAATGAAGTATTAATGAATTCTATAATATTCTTTCACGCAGTGGATTATGTTAAACGACGCCTAAAAAAATATTGTTTTCACAATCTCACTTATCATGAATTTCACTCATGTTTTTTTTTACTATTTCGCTGATCTCATTCTCTGAGCAGCTGTGATATCTATTTTGCCTATAAAAATATTTTCCATTTTAATAACTTAAAAAATTATAGAAACTACGTATAATATAGAAATTATTAAAAAAAAACTTACGTCACGTCAAATCTTACACGTCAGATTTTTTATTTGCTTTATTATTTTCACCATAATGGTTTACTGAAGACGGGATAAAATATTCTTCCAATCCAGCCATTTTTTTTTCAAATCAAGCAGACAATTAAAGCATAATCATACTCACGCGACACGACGACCAATCACAATTGACCGTATAGAAATGATATCATCGACAGCGAATGACGAATCATTGGCACTCGACTCGAGCGTAACGCTCTTCCGTTGCATTTTCACAGATTTACCCCCTAGTCGCCTCTAAAGAAGTTTTACTTCAAAAATCAACAATTAATTATGAAAAACCTAACCAAATAATACCAACTGAATGCAGTTTTTAAATTTACAAAATTGGTTTATGATTTTTGGTACAAATGTGAACGAAAAATGTTTCACTTTTCTTAATAAATAATAATAAACTTTTACTTCAGAAAGTGAATTAAATAAATTTAACATTTCGAAAAACAATATCTCTGCTGCTAAATTTTCAACAAATATATAGTTTTATATATTTAATAATTTATATTTTCAATTGCTCATTTAGATTGGTCTACCAGGTCTTTATTCAATCCAGCATGGCGCAGTCCGAGCTGAACGAAATCCTAAGCTCTGCTATGTCAATACTATTTTATGGAAAAACATTACTGCAACGGGTAGTAACTTTTTCTTGAACAATCAATTGCCTAATGAATGTTCATTAATTGAAAATTGTAATAGCTGCACCAATAATAATTGTTGGACTAAAGAGTAAGTGGTATTGTTCATATCTTTTTTCTATTGCCAAAAATTATTTGCCGATCGATGTAACGTTTAAAAAAATTCAAGTTTTGAATTGCAGCAAATGCCAAAAATTTGCTGTTTACCACCCCGAATGTGACGAACAATGTTTAGGAGCCTGTACTGGACCAGGACCTGCTCAGTGCAATGTCTGCAGAACATTGCGCAATGGAAGTATATGCGTAGATAGATGCCCGCCGGAGAGGTAAGAAAGGTAGACGACTTCTGATATGTATAAATAAATTAACTTCTTTATAAAATAAAAGTACTGATGTTTTCATTAGATTAGTTTTTCTGGATACTATGCGATGTTCAAATCCGGCAAAATGTGTGAATGATAAAGTAATTTACGAAAACTCTTGCTTATTAGAATGTCCGGCAGGTTTGTTCCTAATCAGTTGTACGTTTAGCAGTCTTTGTCTATTTTTTTTTTCTAAGTCTTATTATATGTTTTAAAGGATTTATGAACTCCAGTGGCATTTGCATAAAATGCCCTAAGCAGAAATGCCCTAATGTGTGTCGAGGTGCTATAATAACATCCATCTCTGATGCGCAACATTTTAAAGGATGTACGATCGTAAACGGGAGTTTGCAGGTATCCAAAAATATCATATATTTTAGTTGAAAATGTAGATATAGCACTTCTAAAGTAATAAATATAAATATGCAAAGCAAACTATTAATTTTTTTTAGATACGGTTATCAGAAGCCATTGATATTACTCAAGACTTGCTACACAACTTGAGTGAGATAGAAGAAATAATTGGTATCTTAAAAGTGTATAGATCATTTTCATTAAAATCACTTCATTTTTTTACTAATTTGAAAGTTATACATGGAAATGAAGAATTAGATTCCAACAAATATTCTCTGATGGTATTTGAAAATCAAAATTTACAAAACCTTTTTAATGTGACCAGTCTCCGCATAGAAAAGGGTTCTATTTTGTTCAACAACAACCCATACTTGTGCCTATCAGAAATAGAAAAATTCCAGCAATATACAAACTTAACAAAACTATCATTAAAAGATTCTTTTCCTAGCTGGAATGGATACAAAGCTAACTGTAACTTTGTAAAAATCAAAACCTTTGCAGGAAATGTATTCACCACAAATGCTACTATTTACTGGGAGAACTATAAAAACGTTAGTTCTAATGGATATATGATATATTATATAAAAGCTCCCGAAAAAAATGTGAGAATTTATTATGGTATGGATACATGTCTGGAAAACTCCTGGAACGGTACTCAGTTTAAAGAGAAGACTCAAAGTCAATATTTAAAATATACTTTGACTGATCTTAACGCTTTCACACAATATGCATTCTATGTTCGATCATATGATTTAGAAAGTCCTGTTCTAAATTTCCATCAAGAAGTTCAATCTAACCTAGAGTATTTTAAAACTTTGACTGATCAACCATCTGGTGTTGAAAGAATTAGGACTGTAAGCAAAAACTCAAGTTCTATAACTATAACATGGTTTCCACCTTCAACACCAAATGGTATCCTAAGTCATTACAAGTTATATGTATTTCATCATCCTGATGAAAATGATTTTCTAGACCCAAGGAATTATTGTAAAGAACCAATGGAGGATATAGAAACTAATCCCGAACTGGAAATGATCCAATCAGCACCAGCACAACAGTCATGTTTTTGTCCTGATGACGAACCATTATTAAGTATTGATCAAGATGAAAGTGATATTTGCATTGAAGGAGCAGAAACGCATCACAGTTGTTCCCAAATGAAATACTCAAGTAATAGAGTCCGTAGAGCATTAACACCACATGTTAGAGTTAAAGAATTTCCAGATGTTATAGTTGATGGATATTACGAAGTTACAACTATAAATTTCAGTGCAGAATTGACTCAGTATACCGTCAATCATCTAAGGTATTACGGGTTATACACATTACAACTAGCGGCTTGCAACATAAACGAAAAAAATTATGAGGTGTGCAGCCCAATAGAGCATTTTACAGACCGTGCAGGAAAATACATCAGAGCAGATGACATATTGGATTTCCGAGTCGAAACCAGAAATAATGAAGTCTTTTTGAAATGGTCAGAACCTGAAAAACCAAATGGTGTGATTATTACTTATTTTATAGAATATGGTAAATACGAATGGGAAAAGGCTCCATTCATGACAAAATGTGTCACCAGACTTCATCATGCTATGAATAACTACACCCATACATTACTTCTAGAAGATGGAACTTATAAGGCTCGTGTGAAAGCCCAATCTCTAGCAGGAGACGGTCGATATACCAACATGGTCGAATTTAATGTGACGAAAATCGAAATACAGTTTCCAAATACGGGTATAGTGCTATTGTATTGTGCTCCAGGCATTGCTTTAATGGCTGTTTTAATCTATTGTTTGAATAAACACAATTGTTTTTGCACGCCTTATGCAAAATCATCTTGCTTTAAGAAAAAACAGTCAACTTGTTCTAAAATGCGCAATGATTCTTGGAATGATTCTCATGGTGAAGAACAAGATATGCGCCGTCAAATTTTGTTTGATGAAATTACTAATCAATTATTCGATGACACTGCTCCTAATTTAGGTTTGATAAAGAGAGATTTTAATGTTAGATATTTTCATAGTCGCCCAGATATAGATGATACAGTGCAAATTAAACCAAATACATTTCTAACTAGCGCCTCTATAGAAGCACATGCCTGCGCTAATGAATACCAATGAGTTGTAAAAAATACACTGTGATAAAATACTAAACATGATTAAAAGATTCTAAGAAACTATATATCCAATCTAAATGTTGCCTCTATACTATTGTTAGTATATGTAACCAAATCTAACATGCTCAGAAACTTCTAAATACAAAATTAATCACAAAATTCACCTAAATCACCTAGATTACCTAAAAAAATTAATTATTTAATCACATCTACAAAGAGTTCAGGTTAGTATTGGAATAGACTATTTCAATAATATGAATTTTTGTATTATTTGACTGTTTTATAAATATTATTATCCAACATGTATGATTAATAAATATATATATAGCATCTGGTACAACAGTTGTACAAAATTAATAAAGTTTTATATAAACACTATGTGTACGTTTAACAATATTTGCCATAATCCATTTTTATAAAATTCTTGCATTTGAAAAATGTTATAATTTTGCACTTTGAATAAATGTGCACAATTTATAAAAAATTGTTTTGTCAAGGCAAGTTCAATATCATAAAGTTATATATAATATCTTAATATCTTTGCAGTTACAAATTTAACTTATTTCAGAATTCTTAAGGTATAAAAATATATTTAAGCAAATTTGCATCATAATAAAAAATCACATAAAATATATACAAATTTAATAATTATAATACCTTTACCACATATTAAAAATTGCTCTTTTGTCTAATGTTATAACTTGGACAACTTTTTCTGTAAGAGTGACCATGCTTTCTCAACCTGCAACAAAATAAATAGATTATTTTTATTTGTAAGAAAACTTTAGGTGTCCATTTGAACAGATAATTAAACATACTTGTGTTTGTGTGTAATCCCTACTCCAATATGTACAAAAAACAACATTAGATTTTGATACAAATTCATTGTTATCAGGTTGTGCCGAAATCCTTGCAATAGCATCTGCTTCACTCAATTTGTTTCTATCTTGAAGTCTCTTGATAGCCTAGAAATAGAGTTATTATTATTATATATACAGGCAACCTCTGTATAACATAGTACTTCTAGAACACGGTTTGAAAATTGAGACAATCCTCCTTATAACATAACAAGGTATAGTTTCAAGGTACGAGTTTGCTATAAAACGGTTTGAGAATTGATCAAAACAGTATAAGCAATGTTGTAAAACTAATGAACAGCAAATTTCATCTGATCTAGAGTTATTAAAATTGCCAAACAATATCTCAATAAATGTGATGAAACTAGTGCAAAAGATAACTCTTTTTGACATTTTTTATTCGAGCATTTCTTTTTGCTAAAAGCTTGCAATCGTATACATAAATTTTATTGCAATAAATAGAGCATGAAATGACACAGACCAGAAAAATGTTCAGAGTTTGGAGATATCTTGAAAAACCAATCGAGTTGTATTGCAATTACTTGTTAGTTATAATGAAAAAAGATTGATTAATTAATTTAATGTGTGTTACTTCTTAAGAAAATTTAATAAATATAATAGTATTTATTATCAAATGGTAATTTGTAGTATGTTTTTTTAAATCCTTGGATCGTAATTTCTTTTTTTGTACTAGTTGTTTATCCCGTATTACACGGATTTGCTTTACAGTTGTTTGGCATGTAACTACCCTGTTATACATGGGCTACTTGTATAAGTATATATGTATATATATATATATATATATATATATATATATATGTATATATTAGTAATTTAAAACTAACTTCTTTCTCTGATATGATGCAAGACCATATCTCGTGAAATTCATTCTCCCAACCAGCTTGTAATAACACAGCAGCTTCAACCACAATTATTTCAGATTCCATTTCATAACTCATATTTGAAATTGCCTCTCTCAATTCAGTTCTCAGAACTGGCCACACAATTGAATTTAGTGTATTGAGTTTGTTCTAAAATTGAACATTTTTATCAACAATTGAAAGTTATTTCTTTATTATTTGGATTTATGAGATTATACAAACCTTGTCAGCAAATACAATAGCACCAAGCTTTTTTCTATCAATATTGTCTTTCTCATCAAATATTTCACAACCAAATTCTTGTTTTAATAAATAGTGGCATTTTTGACCTGGTTCATATAAATCATGTGCCAAGGTATCGCAGTTTATGTAACCAGATCCCAGTTTACGAAGTCTTTGACAAACAGAAGATTTTCCAGAAGCTATACCTCCACAAAATCCTATGATATATGGCTTTTTTGGTAGTAGTGGATTATCCTAATAATATTGAAACTATATAAGAAATAATCATAATACGTCCTAAACCAAACTAAACATAAAATAAGTATTTTGAATACCTTAGGTTCTTTAAGTCTTGTACCTAGTAAATTCATTCTCTGATTACTGCTGGAAAGTTTATGTTCTTTTCCCTCTCCATTGTCAAATCCTTCCACAAGATCAATGCAATGTATTTTTAAATGACACAGACCATTCTCCAATCTTACATCGTTCACTTTAAGACCACCTTTTAAAGTTTCTGAACTTACTACTATTAGCTAAAAAGATATAAATATGCAATTTTCAATAATTTCATATATAATTGGCTGTTTTATTCTATATTGATATATTATGCTTAAACTATAAACAAATTGAAGATTCTTTTATCAATTATTTGTAAAACAGTTCGGAAAACAAAATATTTTATGACCAAAAAAGTTTGAACAATTGCATCTAATTATAGCAAGTTATCAATGAATTTTGTATCAAGTCATAAATTTAGAAGGCAACACCATTTACTTTGAGAAAAAAATTGAAGCAAATGTTCAACATACTTTTTATTATTACCTGCATATCAGGATCAGTTTTTGTGGGACCAAACGGATCATTTATTGACACGATTTGATACATTAAAGTGCTATCTACATCCTGCATGAATTCTTGGACATCAGACATTCTTTTAGAGCTAGGCTGAATTAGTTCATAAAGAGTTTTTGCTTCAAAACAAAATAAATCATTGACAGAAAATAAGAACACTAAAATATCCTAAAAATAAAACTACACTTACATTTTAGCATATTATTTTCAGTAACTCCCACAACAACTCTTTTATTAGCTCGTAAGATGGCTTCAGAAAGTAGTATCTTATGTCCTACATGCAATCTATCAAATGTGCCCCCAAGAACAACATTGTTATGCATTACTGGTTCTCCTGCTGAATCGCAAAGTTCATTAAAACCTTGAGCAATTTCTGTTTTGTCATGTAGAACAATTACTGGTACATCTTTTATCAAGCAATTAGAAAGAAAGTCTTTGGTTTCAGTTTTGGTAAAGGCATTATCAAACATAACAACTTCCACAGGTTTTTGAAGTTCAATGTTAGCTTCTGGATATTTCAGTGATGAGATGAGTATCCTTACATCGATGTTTCCACAATGTTTCACTGCCTAGAAAATATAGATTTATTTATATGTTGTAGTAAAGGAGCAAATGTTATTGAAAGTAGCTTATTCTATGTAAAGTAATACAGCAAAATAGAATCATTCTGAACTACAAATATATTCTGAGTTCAAAAATTAGTTATAGTAATGTGTTCATAACTAAACATTCATGTTTACTATTTATTAACTATTGGATTCTGTAATGAATCTGTTTACACACATTATGTGTAAAATATGATACATTACTGATTGATGAAATACTGCTTATGAATATACTGTGCTCACAGAGTGAGTATAACAAGAAGGTGATTTCGACACATTTGTATTTCTGTATCCTAGATAGAGTTGAGCATTTATATTGTTTTATTTACATAATTACTATTTCATGTTTACTATCTTTGAACTATTGAATGCTATTATAAATCTGTTCACACACCCTACATGTAAAATATGATATATTAGTGATAGTATTGCTTGAAGTAATTTTTCTAATACCTATGAATATACTGTGCTCACAGCATGGGTCTACTAAGGAGGTAATTTCGATACACTTCGGTATCCAGGATAAAGATGAACATATGTTTTATTTACCTGATTACTATTTCATATCTACTATTTTGGAACTATTGAATGCTATTTTAAATCTATTTACACACCTTATGTGTAAAATATGATACATTACTGATTGATAATATTGCTTGAAGTAATTTTTCTACTACCTGTGAATATACTGTGCTCACAGCACGAGTATAATAAGGAGGTGATTTCAATACATTTGTGTTTCGGTATCCAGGATAGAGATAAACATATAATGTTGTATTTACATGATTACTATTTCATGTCTACTGTTTTGAAACTACTGAATGCAATTACAAATCTGTTTACACACCTTATGTGTAAAATATGATACATTACTGATTGATAATTTTGCTTGAAGTAATTTTTCTACTACCTGTGAATATACTGTGCTCACAGCACGAGTATAATAAGGAGGTGATTTCAATACATTTGTGTTTCGGTATCCAGGATAAAGATGAACATATAACGTTTTATTTACATGATGCCTTGCTGCAGATAACACTTGTGATAGCCTCGATAAATTGGTAATAACTAATAAGCCTGTCCTAGCCATTTAACAGAGTATTCTTTGGACTGAAAATATTAGAAATATGTAGAAAAATACTGAATCAAATAGAGAATTGTAAAGAAAATACATTTGCATAATACAACTCAATAATTGATAGTGTCTTTTTTAATTTGATGTGCTCATAGAATTTCATATATTACATCAATATACTATAATCATATATATTATCTAAATTTTAAATCATTTTGAATTGCTAATAATTCAAATATGAATATAACATCTAGATATATCAGACATAAGAAAAATCCAGTCTTGATTCTTTAGAAATAAACAATAGTTTTTCAAACCTTTGATGTTATATTATACTAACAGTTTTTAAAGGACTTTATTTGCAACAATGACATTACAAAAACGTTGGCTAAAGTTTAATTTATCTTGATAAATAAATATCGTATAATTGTCAATAATAATAGAAATTCGTGACGCCCTCTATAGCGATCTTATCCAATTCTTAAACTCAATACTCACTCCATGTTTTTAGAAATCGTGCCAGAAGCTACCATAGTTTTCTTTGACTCGTATTTATACAAATTCCTTCGGACGTTGCACAAGTCGCATTCGTGATGTAGGAATAATTTTGATTAACTGATTGATTTTGATTTTGTTAATTAATTATGAATTAAAAATTTATATTCTGAGTGTAATTACTTTCATGGTTATGTTTGCATAGAATTTTGTGTTAAATTGTTACTTTTGTCGGTTGTGGATTGTGTCAGTTGCAAATTGTAAAGTGAAACATGGCTACACACAGCGAGGTCGGGGTAGCCGATTTTGTCCTTTTGGACGAAATTACTATTGAAAAATTTATGGCTAATTTAAAACTAAGGTAATTATATAGTAATAAAAATCTATGCTTATTTATAAACTATATTATACTATACATGATAAAAATATTATGCGGCCTTTGAGAGGTTAGTTTATAAACAAAGTTTGACGTTTCAATGTCAGTCCCTTTGAAAAAATGCGTTTTTTTAAAACTGATTTAATTTTTTTAATGGTGTTTTTTAATTATGTTTTGTCAATGACTCATGTTGTTTAACAATGAAATTTATGAGAAAAATGCCGTCATAACATGAAGTCATATATTGGATGCTTGAATTTTATTTATATTTTTTATTTCTGCATAAGCAAGAACTCAAGAGAAGAATTTTTACTCTATATGTATATATAAACCAAACGTACACATATATGTATATTTATATGCATTTTATTTTTTCGTTATCTTTTGGGAGAATGTACAAATATCGAATTATTTACATATTCTTGTTTACAGTTCTTCATATTTGCCGGTTTTTGCAAAATCAACAAAGAAATGTTTTGCAAAGTAATTTTTAAATACAATACAATATATATCTAAGTAAATTTCAGCAATAATCGACTCGATAATTTTGTTGACTTATATTTATTTATTCGTATTGTTAAGAAATATTTAAAATCGATATTTTATAATCCTGTTTATTTATAATATTTTTTTATAATTGTGTTTGAAATCTTTCATTTAGTACTTTCAATTAGCACTTAAGCAATTAGCAATTATTTAATTACTAAAACTTCAATTTATATTAGATGTTCAAATTTGGTTTGTAACGTTTCAATATAAATGAGCTCATACTAATTTCATTATCTAATCTAAAATATAATATATTTCACAAGTTAAAACTAATGATAAATGTGATAAAACTTATTCTCGATTTCGAATTGATAATTATCCCTGATTACATACATATAGGCTTATACCAGATATCGCAATAATTTGAAATATAACTTTGTTAAAAGTTATTTTTTTGTATAAGAAATTCTACTATCTTTTGAATACTTTTCTCAATGAGTAGCTATAGTTATCAACTATTTGGTCCAAGTGACCAAAATAGCCAAAAAGATTGTAAACTAGTATTACAAGGCTACAATATTTAATTTGTAATATTTGTTGATATTGTTTGAAACATCTTATTGTTGTAAGTGAAATAGTTTTTATGAGAGAATATGATACTACTAATAATTTATCAACAGTATCGACATCAATATTCATTCTAAAGCTCTAAAGTCTACTTACAATTTTAGAACAATGTTCTAACAGTCATATATAAAATCTCTTTTTGACATATTTCATTAAAAATATGTATTTAAGAAGGCAAAATTTATAATATTGAAAAAATACCTCTTCTCTTGCAAAGAAATTTTTAGCGCCAATTTATAGGATGTATCTTGTTTTTCCAGAAATATAGTTTTGGAAGAAAAACTATTGTGAAGGATCATATAATTGATCTAATTGTTTCATATAATCAATGACTCATAGATATTTAAGAAGGCAACTGTTTTAATACCTAAAAAATACCCAAATGCAAATAAATTTTTAGCACTAATTAACTTCCCGTAGGGTAAATTATTGTAATGGGCCGAAAATCGAAATTGAAAATTTTTACATTTTCCGACGTTTTGAAGGTTTCTGAACATTTTGGCATACCTCAGAAAAAATGGATGTGTGTGTGTGTGTATGTATGTATGTATGTATGGATACAATTTTTCGTCCACGTTTTCGGGCGCACGGATCAACCGATTTGAATGGTTCAAAACACATTCGATTCCTATTGATAGGGAGATGTGCTGATTAGTTTTTGGCAAAGGCAGGTCCAGCAGTTACAGAGATAAAGAGCAAAGAGTGCAGAAAATAGAAATCGAATTTTTGAGAGAACGGAGCATTCGATTTGAATGATTTAAAAAACATTCAATTAGTAATGATTGGAAGAAGTGGTTATAAGTTTTTGGAGAAGGCAGGCCTAGCCATTTCGGAGATACAGAGCTAAATGTGCAAAAAATGGCAGTTTTTGAGAGAACTAAGCGTCTGATTTGAATGATTCAAAGAACTTTCTGCTTGTTTTAACAAAATAATTGATTTTGGAAAGAAAAAAATTTTTCTAAATTTTTTTTTTCATTTTTTTTTCAAAATTTTTTTTTTATATACGAAAATAATTCAGATTTTAATCGTAATTCTGACAAAAGTTCTAATGTACTTTAAACAAATATGTTTAACTTTGCAATTCAGTTTATATAATTCTTATAAATATTAGACATTGTTACAATATTTATAATAATCTATTTGAAAACATTTAGTCCTCCTCGAACATTTTGTTACGGTACGGGAAGTTCCAGCAATTTGCCTTGAGCTACGATGCCATACACCCCACTAGTTTATGATATTTTTAAAACTGTGAAAGAAAACCTATTGTGAAAATCATATAATTGAACCAATAGTTTCATTTGAAGAAGGCAAAATTTATATTACCTAAAAATACCTCTTCTCTCGCATAGTAATTTTTAGCGCCCATTTATAGGATGTTTTTTATTCCTTCAGAAATATAGTTTTGGAAGAAATACTAATGTGGAGAATCATATAATTCATCCAATAGTTTCATATAATCCATGACATAGATTATAGAGCTGTTAAGAACCGTCATTTTCAAGAACCGGTTCCAAAGTCCAAAAAGGATCCGGTTCCGGAAGAACCGTTAACGGTTCCAACCCGGAAAAGTCCGGATCGATCCCGGAAAATTCCAGACCGCTCCGGAAAAAAGTCCGGCTACTTTTATTAATGTATTAAAGTTATTGTAATGGGCCGAAAATCAAAATTGAAATTTTTTACTTTTCTCGACGTTTTGAAGGTTTCTGAACGTTTTGGCATACCTAAGAAAAAATGGATATGTATGTGTGTGTGTGTGTGTGTGTATGTATGTATGTATGGATACAAATTTCCAGTCACGTTTTAGGGCGCACGGATCAACCGATTTGAATGGTTCAAGAAACATTCGATTCCTATTGATACGGAGATGAGCTGATTAGTTTTTGGCAAAGGAAGGCCCAGCAGTTACGGAGATAAAGAGCAAAGAGTGCAGAAAATAGAAATCGAGCTTTTGAGAGAATGGAGCATCCGGATTTGAATGATCTAAAAAAACATTCAATTAGTAATGATTGGGAGAAGTGTTTATTAGTTTTTGGCAAAGGCAGGCCCAGCCATTTCGAAGATACGGAGCTAAATGTGTAAAAAATAGCAGTTTTTGAGAGAACTAAGCGTCCGATTTAAATGATTCAAAGAAAATTCTGCTTGTCTTAACAAAATAATTGATTTTGGAAAAAAAATATTTTGTTTCAATTTTTTTTTTTCAAAAAAATTTTTTTTTGTATATCGAAAATAATTCAGATTTTACTTTTAATTCTGACTATAGTTCTAATATACTTCAAACAAATAATTTCAACTTTGCAATTCAGTTTATATAATTCTTATAAATATTAGACAATGTTACAATATTAATAATAATCTATTTGAAAATATTCAGTATCCTCGAACATTTCGTTACGGTACGGGAAGTTCCAGCAATGTGCCTTAAGGCACGATGCCATACACCCCACTAGTTTTTCTATTCAGTCACAAACATCCGTTTCAAGCTACGTGTTTCGCTTTACTTTTTTGTTCTTGAAATTTTTTTTGTAACCCTTTGAATTTTTTAATATAATTATAATTAATACTTTTTTGTGTATTACTACTTAGTTATATATTTGTTTGCCATTAATGCAATTCTCAAATTGGTAATTGTTCATTCGAATAATATTTAGTCTGCTTTCATTATTAAGTTATATGTAATTTTCATAAACTTTTAAATAAATAATTATAAACTTTTTCATAAACCAATAAATTTGAAGCATATTTTTAGTTTCTTTAGTTTTTAGTTTCTCAATTAAAGTTTTTGATATCCATAGCAAGAGGCGGTTTCTTTTGATCAGGAGAATTTACAAAACTGGCTGCATATAGTATTAAAAAAATAACATATTATTAAAAGTATTTCAACAAAACGCCTTAGTTTAATTGAAATAAATAGTTTACTTCATAAAAAGTAATTTAATTTCTAAATTGTTAACTTCATAAAAAATATACTTACTTACTTACTTACATAAAATACTTTGCTAACCTTATTTTTATACCTAAGCTCTTCCCATTATGTAATTCGACTCTTGCGAGAGAGCAAGTGGACTTTATGATCATAATATTAGTTACATTCACTAATTAATACATATATATCTAAAGATTTCAAAGCAGAAGCGTACTTTTAGAGCCTGGCGATTGTACATCGACTCATAAATCGTAAAACAACAAATTTCAAAAATTCCTTCAAGTTTGCTAATTAATTTTGAAATATTGCATATTTTAAAATAGTGTTTCATATATAAATAACAAATATATGGAATTATATATACTTGAAACATAAACTAATTTATCTTACATAAACTGATTTTATTTAAAAAAAAAAGACAATTTTAAAAGTAGAATAGAAGTGTTTGTATTAACTTCTATATCGTTTGAAATGTTGTTGAAATGGATAAATATTTAGTTTCAGAAATAATAATTTAGACGGATTAACGAAATGCGGCTCTTGTAGTCGGGTGTTGTCTATTGAAAATAGTTGGAGGTCTTTCTGAAAACAAGTGTCAAAGTATGATTTGGAGAAGTCATTAAAATCAATATTTATGGGCTAAAGACTGATGGCTCTCAATGAAAAGATTTAGGCTAATACATACATATAACAATGTTTAATTTTTTATATTGTGTCGCAACACGTCTCCTTTGTCTATCTATAAACAAAAAAAAATCATCGCATGTGGCCTGTTTATCTGTGTTGCGAATGCTTTAAAGGGATGAACATCGACAGTTCATCCTTTATTCTGTCCTTTTCTAGCATTCGCAAAAGTTCCGATCTCTCTTTCTGCCCAAATACGAACTGTTGGGTAAATTGTACATAAGTTAAGTATACATATTCGGCAACGATTTATTAAACA